GTTTAAAATACAACGGAATTGAGAATCTTATTTTTGAAATTGCTTGAAAATATTAGGTTAAAAGATAGATTTTAGAGAGATGAAGCCTCAGAATCGACCCCAATGATCTTACAACTAAAGCATCCAAAAATTTTTTTATGATACTTTGAATGACAGATATATTGACGGTCTACCTGATAGAAAGTGGTAACCGGCTATAAACATGTAACAGTACCATGGACATAATGGAATATACTATATCGCCAATGTTACCATGCTATGCATACTTTATGCATTACAACCATGCATATTTCATGCATTGCCATTCCTGAGGACTAGGGTATTTTTTTTATAGATGATAATGGAATGGTTGCCCCACCTGCGATATCGATATACATGGGCTGGGCACCAGTGAGTGACGATAAGTGAAGACGAAGCTCATCGTGACAGATTCACTGATGAATCAATCACGATGGTAATCAAACTAATCTCCGTTACTAACAATCCCCTTTCCCCCCTCGGACTAGGGTTATTATGTCTGTGTATCCTGTAATTTCATTGCTATATCCCATCGTTCAAACGGAAACACAGTCATGCAAACAGAACTGCTTCACGACAGAAACACGAATCGGACAAAGGTACCCTACCAAACGACTTTTCTACAATACCTTTGATATGTTACTGAAAGATTACAGATACTTATCAGTCTTCTCTTTTTATTTTTATTAATCTTTCACTAGTGGACTTTTTGGTAGAGGTATTTTTGCCTTGTTTTAAAATTTACAGAGCATTTAAGAATATGTATTTTAAACCTATGTTGATTTAATAAATAGACTACTAATATTTTATATGTTTCAATGTAATCCTCGATAGTATAGTGGTCAGTATCCCCGCCTGTCACGCGGGAGACCGGGGTTCAATTCCCCGTCGGGGAGAATACTTTTTGCGCGTTATCTCACATTTCTAGTGACAATAATCATACATGTTTAATTAATATTTGTATCGTATTATTTATTGATATTACATTGGTGCATTAAAGTAAAACATTAGCCATTATAGATTTGTCTTTTTGGAAAATATTGTATAAATTATTATTAACATTTTCGTAAAAAAGTTCCCAATTATCCTGTGTTTTGTGTATTTCTATGTTTCTTTGCCAATTCTGAGTGGCATTTAAATTATTAAATTAGTTATTAATTTTAATAAATAAAAAAAAATAGATATATTCAATTGATGCGACGTTTCAAATAAGTATCTCCATAGATTTTGTTTTTGTATTTTTTTTTAATTTAATTTAATATACCCTCCAAAATAAGCATAATATTGTTTGGTATACAAATTGGGAATCTGTAATGGGCTAATGTATGGTATAAATATAATATTTTTGATTATTCTAAATAAAAGCTGTTGATTCATGTAATATTAAAAAAAAATTAAATAAAAATTAATAATTCTTTTTACAATCAATAAATATCATTATTAAGCCAGATTGATCCTTATATTAATTTTGTCATTATTGAAACCACTTTCTTTGCTAATAAAAATGCTGCTTGTTGCAAAGCAAAATCTATTCGTAAATATAGGATTCAGTATTCTACATTGAAATTAAATTCTACCGGCTATATATGAAAAAAAAAAAAAAAAATTAAAACATGATTACAACTAAACAGGCGGCGGTAATCACTTACCAGTAAGTAAGCGACATAGGAAGTAGTAGCTTCAAATTGTCTTTAATTATAAAATAATCAATAAAAATTACAAATGTCGATTCCAACGCCATCTAGTATTTCGTGTCTAATTTTGTTTATGGATCATCCGCCTTAATTTACTTCGAGTAATGGCGCTTTAGAAATGGCGCTTTTCGTCAGAGTTCTAGATTTTTCTTTCAAAATAATTAGGTACATATCTAATTAGGTATGAATAAAAAGACACAATGTTTCATTGAAATGCACTATATTTCCATTATCTCGGTTGTAATATTTATTATTACAAAATGTTACAATGTAATCTAAATGCAATAAGATATACGCAACATAAACTTTTTATGAAAATAGTTGACTTTACACACATAACTTATTCTAACGTGCTTCGTACCCTCAACGTGCTGTGACCAAAAACCGAAAAAAAAGTGATGCCCGCAATGAAATTTGATTTTTTATTATTTATTTAAAACAATACCACCTCCTTATTCATAAAAACGTGATATAAATTTTAACTATTGAAGTGTTTTGTCTTTTTTAGTTGCACTAAATTATCAATTTGAAAGACAGAGACAAATAGTTAAAATAGGTTTGTAGGATACAATAGTTTTTATGAATAAGGGAATTGAGCCGGATCCCCACCAAATATTCAATTTAAAATAATTTATATTTTTTAAAAATTATTTTAAAACAATAGTGTTTTGTGTCCATTTCGACGTTTTTTTTTTAAAGTCCATTGCAGTCACCACTCACCGTTGACTAGACAAAAAATAACCAGCACTATTTTTGTTACCAGAGACAAAATAATTAAAATTGTCATTTTGTAAGAGTAAAAAACTTTTTGGTTGTAAAAAAAAATCATGCAATCTAGTCTATGGTTTAAAGATATGGGGATGATAAAAATATAAATCTTATTATAACGGTTTCTCTTTAAATTTGGAATAAAATCTTTTAAATAATTACTGTGTCTATAAAATGACAATGTTTTACGATTCTATAACCCGTAAAAGTAAATTGGACGGGATACAATGTAAATAGATAATAAAAGTAACAACAATAATATATATATATGGTATTTTAAAAATGTTGATAAAAAAAAAAGATACGCTTTATCGTATTATCTGTCAATGTAATTTGATATTGTATGTTGAAATTCGGGTTATTAGGCAGTGTAATTTTTCACTACTCAGTGAAAAGTTCCATTGCGTAAGTATTTACCCTTAAAAAAAAGTTAGTTTCACAAACAATTTGCAGAAGAGTGTCAAAAAAAAAAAAAAAACAAAATCAAAGACATTTGAATCCTATTTTTTTTTCCATGAAATTATTTCATGTTTCGTCTCTTCATATACAAATTTAACGGAAACATAGTGTTGTATTTAATATTAAATGTTATACAAATACCCGAACAGTTAAAATACTATGTCCGAATTTTATAATGTACATATATTAAATCATAGACATTGATAACAATAGATGTCGCTAGTGTCTCAATTTATTGCACTCTTAGTAAAATATCGACCTTTTTTCTCTTGGGATTTGATAGAATGACATTTTCTTTGACTAGTTTAAGAAACCTGCAGTGCTGTCTGACTTACGACGCAATTGAATTGGGATTGAATCGAAATCACATCGAAAAACGTTATTATTAGGTACATTTAATGCCTCTTCGAAGTGCCTATTTGATCTCAATTGGATTGCGTCAAAAAGTTAGCCTACTGTTTTGTTTTTAGGCGGTATTTCACTAAAATTCATAATACAGATAATATTCAGTTAGAGAGATATTTTCTTTTAATTTTTTTTACGAAAATTAAACTTTGTCATTAATAGTGTTGTTGTTTTCATAGCTATATTAAGATACAATCGATTCATCTTTATTCGATTCGTAATTAATCGATTTTAGTAAATTATAACCGATTATTTGTTAACAATTGATTACGTATTTATACGTATTATCGATTACACAATATATTATAAGATTACTCATGAATCCAAGTTTCCAAGATCGGTTATCAGTCGATACTAAATAATTCTTTGACTGCACTATATTAAACTACTCGACTTGTCATAAAACCTAATTATTTATAGAAAATCCCCTCCCGCACTGAACTTTTTTAGGAACCACGTGCAATGTTGTTTTTGTCAATTCCTTAAACTTTTTTCGAACGTAAATTTTATGTGTAACACCGTAACGAAATTTAGCTGGAGTCAATTAGATTTTAGTGCACTTTAGAGCCCAAATATCGACACGGTAAGTTGCGACATCTATTCAGATCTATATCTATGTGTAAAGTCCTTTGATATATTAGTTATATTTGGCAGGATTAATGTTACCGAGCTATTATTGTTTTATCATAAAAACAATGACTATAAGTGTCATTATTAATAGAATACGTATTGTATTACAAAATACACATCATTTTGGGTGTGCAGTTATTATTTTTTGGGAATTGGCTATTGCTTATGAATTCCAAACAGGCATTGTTTCGTAAGTACTTGTAGATTATACAAACTATTAAGTATAACTTTATTATATACTTTAGATAGTATATATGCATTATTATATATATATATATATATATATATATATATATACATAACTTTGATGTATATAGCACATTAGCTTAAAATAATTTTCCAGTCGCATTCAGCATATATTCCTTCAATGTTTTCTAAACAATATAGATTATAAAACAAAACACACTCAACCCAACATATATTAAGAAAGGCACAAACAACTTATGTACCGACATTTATTACCGAAGTATTATCATTTTATATGTAAATTACTATTAAATTACACATTACACAGGCAATTCAAATTACCCACAGGTTTTTCTTTCCCATAATGAAAATTATGTATCTTATTCACCCAAAATTAAACGAACAAAACAATACTTAAACTATATTTCGATCTAAATCTCTAAAACTAATATTAATTAATCTATTTTATGCTATATTTTTTACACTAATCAACAATTCCAAAACCCAAAACCCTTTATATAGCCAGCTAGAAAATTTTTGGCACGCTACTATAACTAAATTCGTTTTTACTAAAACTAAATTATTATATACTATTTTGTGTCATAATTATGTACATAGGAACAACATATGCTTATATTGTGCACATCCGTTATTTACACAATGTTATTTACACAAATATATGCAGAGTGAAAATATGATTTGTGAAAATAAAAATTAAAGTTGAATTATTCTTTCAATATATATATATATATATATATATATATATATATATATATATATATATATATATATATATATATATATATATATATATATATATATATATATATATATATAATAATAAAAAAATATATATATATCTGAATATATATAATATGTTTGAATAGAACATAATTAAAATGTATTATAATAATAGAATATACAAATAAGGTATATTTGTCCTGATCATACGATAGTCTGATGTCCAAATAAAAATGCGAAGTATTGCTTGAATGTTTCTTTTTACAAACATCACTTATGGTGTATTTTTATGACAATTGGATTAACCCTTTTTTGCATAAATTTTTTTATTGGTGAAATAAATCAAGGTGATTTGTCAAGTCAATTCATGTTCAAAATTAAAGGAAAAATGGTATAAAAAAATAAATTTGACAGTTATGATTTTTTTTCGTAATGGATAAAAGGTATTCATACACGATCTACTTAAAGTGAACTTGTTCTTTTATATAATTTTTGGGCATTCAATGTTATGATGGAAATTTCCACCAATAATGGTAATAATTGCATAAGCAAAGAAGGGTTAAAACTTTTTAGTTTTAAATTTTACTGAATTACATATATTTTTCCTGATTTATTTACGCATTTCACAATCGATGGATTTAAAATAACATAGTTTCTTAATTTTTCGGTGTTTAAATTCCTCAAGAAAATTTTAGGAGGTTGATGATATCCATAGCAAAAACAGGTAAAAGCAGACAAAAAATCGATAAAATAACCAAATCACTTTATTTTTTTTCACTTTTTATTCACGTTCGCATTTGGTTTCTTAAATTATAGACACTTTAGGTTTATTAACAAAAAGAAGTTTTAAGTACTAGAGCATATAATAGGAAAGGGGGAAAAAGAATAATCGAATGAATCGATTAAAAACACTAACAAGATTCAGAAAACAGCAAAAATTATCAAAATCAAGACATAGAGAGAAATCAAAGCAAAACGTGCTTTTTTTTAGTACGTTTGTTCCGTTATGGAATAGGCTAAGGTCGGAGGCCATGCTGCCTAGTCTTCAGTATGATAATTCGTCTGAAATGCAAAACCTGCTTTGAAGTTTTATCTGACTTTTTTTATTTGACACTTTGACATTGTTAACTGCTATTTTACAATTTATAGGCGAAAAAAAAAAAACAAAATAGCCAGCTATAAACGGTCAGTTATTTGACAAATTAAATGGAGGAAAGAATTTCATGCAATTTATAATGGAAGATAAACTGATGTTTGTATGATGGAAGGTGGACTGTCGCTTATATGTATAGATAGATAGAAAGATTACAATAGTAAACTTATTATAAATACAAACAATTACAAGAAAATATTACACTGAGAAAAAAATGGGCGGCCTTATAGCTAAGAGCGATCTCTTCCAGGCAATCTTTGGATGGAGAGGAGTAATTATAAACAGTTTGACTGGAGGCACGAAACTCTGTTTTTAAATACATATAGAGATATGCATACGTACAATAATGTGAATATATAAATGTATATTTTAAGTTACTAATACATACTCAAATAAATCTATATATACATATAAATATACAAATATATAAATACTTATACATAGAAATACATACTTACATACAAATACATAAATATATATACATTCATATATAATTACAAAAATAAAAGTATAAAAGTTAAGTATGCTAGTCAGACAAAAATTACTATGTATAACGCATAAATAGCATCATGGAAATCACAAAATATACTATGACGCCTTTGGTGTTCCTCGTATGTTGCCAATCTTGAGGATTAGCGTATTTATTAATATAGCTTAAAATTTTTTAATAAATTAAAAATAAAGATGTTAAAAAATTTAATTTTCAGAGTTACATGGTATTGTTATTAAATTTGACTGCCGTTGATTAGGGATTGGTAATATCTGATATCTATATATTGATTTCTTTAGGACATTGATGACTATTTATTTCGATATCGCCGATACCAGTTAGATATCTATATCCATTATGAACGGATTCTTCTTTTCGATATTATATATTGGATAATCGATAGTTAATATATCTGTTACTGATCCAATATATGTATAGATATTGCAACTACAATATATAGGTATTGCTATATATTACCCATCCTTATCGTTGATAGAAATATCAGTCAGCGCTGACGTCAAAATTATTTGGTGCCAACATTGGAACCAGAGTTAATTAGTGCCAATATCGCAGACGCTGGCTAACGCCGCTCTATCTATGCTGGCATACTCCTTGCCGGATCTCGGCCTAGCCGCGTGCCTGTCCGCGGATACGTCACAAGAGCTGAATGAGGAGACAGACAGAGACTCCATGTAGTCAGATGTGTCCGAGGCACCACTGGATGTGCTCTTGTTGGTTAGTTGACTGTGTCGCGCTGTGATATCGGTGTCTACTGAAAAGATGAGAAAAATATTTTATTATATAAATAATAGATAATTTATTCTAAAGTATTGCAGATGCTGTATTGTCCCGGAATAGAATAGGCCTTCCTTTCCCGTAGGTGTTGTAAGAGGCGACTGAAGGAGGGCGAGAGATGGGCAGCAGCGTCCCTCTTAAAACAAAGTTTCCTTCAAAGTTTAACTGCAGTTGCCAATCTGCCTGCCAAGCGGGGCAAATATTAGCCAAACCCCCCCAAGAGCGAGGCTTATGTTTAGCAGTGGACAGTTTTTAAGGAATTTAATTATTTTAATGCAATGTGGTTGGTAGTTAAGATGTAGTTCGTCTGTGAATAAGTGCAACAATAGCTGTGAATGCTTGCAATACCAGAAGGCGTGTGTGTCAATCACACTTGTGACTTAAAGGTCTTGAGGTCGTATATTGAGTTGTAGTACCTAGTAACTACATTACAGTATATTTAAAATCAGAATAGAGTATAGAAGTAAACTGCTAGGTGGCGGGATTAAATAAGTCAAATAAACTTTGCCCTATTCAAATATGAGAAATATTTTCTTTTTCCATACTAATCAGGTTCGTGAACATTTATTAGAACCAAGATATCGAACTCTGGACATCAGAATATTCAGTTAATACTGAGAAAGGAAATAAAAGATACAATTTAAAATGTAACTTACAAGTATTTCTCTTCCGTCTCGTTAACGTATCGACATCACAAGAATTAGATTTCATCAAAGCTGAACCGTCTTCAAACTGGAATGTCAAGTTCTTTAATGGGTCCGAAGAGTTAGATTTTGGAAACGGTGTGTGGACCGGAGTCAAAGACATTCTCATTTGCTTGTTACACTTTATGTGTTTCTTGCTAGACCTCGAATTAGTTATAGGCATTTCAAATTCATTAAAGTCACCTCTATGGTGTTTCAATGATCCCGTCGACACTCCCGAATCATTGGAACTTGAAGAGTCGCGATTTTTATCAGATTTACTCGGTACACTAGAAGATCTTCTGATCTTCACAACATCTCGAATTCTAGCAACCAGCATATTTTCGCTTTTCAATTCCGGCACTTTAAAAGCTTTATCTGTTGGCTCTACAATTTCTAATGGCTTTTTTAGTGTACCCTCATTGATTCGTTCATTTTTAGACGCTTTTCTAAGTACTGTTGGTGTAAAACAAATTTGACTATGTATACCATAATCGTCTTCGTGCCTTTTGGTGAAGTCAGCTGAACTAGAACGTCTGGTACTTATGGTGCTGATAGAGTCTGAATGTTGTGTAGGATCAGATACGTGACTGATTCTACTAATGTTATCAGAGTAATTTTTATTGCTGTTACTAGAGCTGCTGTTTTCTAATGGCTCCATATGCATATAATTTAAATGGTCATTACAACACTCAGCTGACGGATGGACTGTATTCGTTGTTGCCGTGGAAATATCGTCATCGTGTTCAGGGATATCTTCTAAAGCATCTAATTCGTCTTGACTGAATCCAGCGCTTCGAAGAATCTGCAATGAACTTTCGAACTTTTCTAAAGTAGCCGTTAGATCAACATTTGCGTAATTGCCGTAATCTATTTGGGGTACTTTCTTTTTGGTAACAGGGGTAACGTTTACGTAATTAGAATGTGATTCTATCGACATATCGTTATTATTAACACTAGTATCACATGCGTTATTATTTTGAATTGTTTGGTTATTGTCTTCATTTTTGGTCTCACTCATAATATGTGAACAATTGCACGATTGACCGTTAAGAAGACATTTTAATTTCTTTGGTGTATCATAGAGACTTGAAACATCTGTGCTGCTATCAATTGGATGTTCCTGGAACAAACATATTTATTTTATATAACAAAAATCGGCATCTGAGCTTATATTTTCTTGGAAATTCTTATAGTAAATACAGTAAAGAGAAGTTGGTAATGAACCGGACTATATTTCTGAGTACTTATTATCTATATCTCGGAATTTAACAAATTATATTCCTTACAAATTAGAAAATTCTTCATCATTCTATTGTTCTTGTAATTGATTAATTTCAATGAGAAATTGTAGAAATTCAAGATTGTTAAAGAAATATAATTAAGTATAAGTCAAGACAAAGTTTCACTTTGTTTTACGAGTATCACGTGGTTTTGAAAAGTTAATTAATGAAAACAACATACCTGAATTAAAGGCATTGGCGTTTTGGGTACGTCATAATTTTCGTACGGCCCACTAAATGTCTTTTTCCTGCAGCAACATGGCTTTGGTTGTTGCCAGCATTGACATGTACTGCTAGTTTTCGCCGGTATGGTCGGTGTACAGCAGGCAACAGGGCTGGCACGTTTGGAGTCAAAACTCTTGTCTAAGTGGCAGCTACTGCGAGGTACACTGTATTCGGAGGCACTTCCGCTTGATCTCGAGTAAATTGATGCACGATCAGAGTCGGAACGTTTCTCTATAATATTTTCCATTGTCCAAACAGGAGACATGATTGAGCCGGGCGTTCCCATAGTAGATGATCTGCAATTTAAACGAAGATATTTAAATGAGTTCGATTTTTGTTCAAGGAAAAAGACTAAATTTTATAGCTTAATGCTTATGAGATTGAATAAATTTTTAGATTTTTATTGAAATGAAATTGTGTACATCCATTCATCTCAGTTTCATAGTAAAGTGGACAGACTATTAAATAGATGATACTTATAAAGTAAAAAATAAATAGAATGATCAAAAAAAAAATAAAGGAGTATTCGAGATTAATAATTATGTAATGAGATTACTTAAAGATTCGAATTCTTTAAACATTGAACAACTCTTTTTTACTTTTGGGAGGCAGTCAATTAAAATAGCATCTACTATCAATTTTGCTTTATTTTTGTTAAAATAAATATTGAAATGTAAAGATTAATTCATTTCAACCGTTAATTGTCCACTGCTGAACAGAGATCTCCCTCTTGGGGATTTTCCCAGTAGTTAACATACTTAATGGGTGGGTTAGCAATCGGAGTTAGGATTTCGTGATCTTTTAAAAGGAAAGCTGCTGTCCATTCCTCGACCATGAAATATAATGATTACAATGATTGGTGAAAATTATTACCTGGTCAAATGACTAATCTTCCCGATACAACTAGCGCATCTTGGCAACGACGTTGGTCTCCTGAACTTTTCATCCCCGTTACTGTCCAAACTGGTGTCGAGGTCCGAGAGGCAGTGCATCGTCTGGCTGGTTGGCGGTGCCCAGGATGGTGAGACAGACCTCATAGATGAATTGAAACAATCGTCCATACAGGAGCTTGTGTCAGAGAAACGTTTCTCCAGAACTGCAGAGGAAAACAGGCAATTAGGATTATGTTTTTTACTTTTACTGGTTGTTACTTTCTAATTCTTCATGCCAGATATCTTACGGGATAGGTAGAGAATACATGCTAACGGTACATACATTTTCTTGCAACGACTGCTTAAATAATTTGTTAAGAGTTAGATTTTTGTAGTTGGAATAGAATTTTGGGTTATGATAGTTTTTAATTTAATAATTAGGATTTATAATGTTATAAAAAAAAATATTTGAAATCCCATTCAGTTTTAACATCGACCAAGCTATTTATCAACATAACTTAGTTAATTACCAAGAATAATTGATTATCATCTTTGGATCCAAATGTAGCGGAGAGTGAAATTTACGATAGAAAAAGTTACTCTGTATTTGATAAATGGAACTCACCTGAACCACTCCTTGAAGCTATACTGAGTCTGGATTGGGCATCGTGACTGTATCCGTTCAAAATATCAGTAAGCTCTCTCCCCCCTTCCGCTGCGAACACAAACAGACCTTCCCCTTTCGCGCAGCGAGACCCTCCTTCGACGCAAAATCGCTTATCCACCATCCCGTATCGTCTGTGAAAGAAATAAAGAGACAAATTAACGTTAACTAATATTTTGCTTTGCCGTGTGGCCCCGGCATAGATTGGGCCCTTCTTTTCCCGTGGGTGTCGTAAGAGAGAATTTAAGGGTCGAGCGATAGGCAGCAGCGACCTCCTAAAAATATTACCAAAAGCATAATTGCAGTTGCCAACCCGACTGCCAAGTGTGGCAATTAATTAATTTACAATTGTAAAACCCTCCAATCTATGGGGAAGGCTTATGTTCAGCCGTGGACGGATAACAGCTGATATGATGATGATGGTTATTATATTTCTTATAACTTTTAGGTTAAAAGATTTTTTGCCTTTAGACAAATAGCAAATGAAATCTATCAATAGAATTTTATATTATACTAGCGACCTGCCCCGGCTTCGAGCGGATACATATTACATCACGTCACATTAGAAACCTCTATATTTATCAGTGTTTCTCTACAATATTATGCATATATTATACGTATAAACATTCCTCTTGAATCACTCTATCTATTAAAAAAAAAACCGCTTCAAAATCTGTTGCGTTGTTTTAAAGATTTAAGCATACATAGGGACGGACAGATAGCGACAGCGACTTTGTTTTATACTATGTAGTGATATTCTTTATTGTACTTGAAAATTATATTGTTAATGCATTTATAAATGTATTTAAAATTGTGAGCAAGGGTGATTTTATTAGCAAATCAGACTATTAAACAGAATGAGATGATGGCGCCCAGTGGCTTGTTCTTTACCATGCGAGCGCTAACTGAAATGATTCTATTGATATATTTGTTTACCCACTTGTCTAAGGGGGCAGTAGAATTAGTACAATAATCATCATTTGCTTCATGTTTCAGAGGACACAGATTGCTGTCAGGCTTTAAACTAGATATATCAGAAGTCTTTGTTTAAAATGAAAGTATTTTTGAAACTTTAGACACGTCAGGACGCCGCAGCTCTTGTATTAGTAGCAATGATATCATTGATAAGAATTGTTAGAAAAATTCCAAGAAGCGTTCGAATTCTAATTCGAAGAAATATGGCTTATGTAATGATACCACCAATGGCAACGCACGGGAGTATCATGGGCGAAACAGTATACTCTGTTATGTCCATGGTACTGCTCATGTCTATAGGCGACGGTTACCACTTTCCATCAGGTGGGCCGTCAGCTTGTTTGCCATTCTAAGTCGTATAAAAAAAAAACTTAAATTCACTTATCACATTCCACTAATTGTACTAATGAATGAAAACTATCAAATTGAATGTAATAGTTTAATCGTAGTTTGTTTACGAAATGTGATTGGTGACTAAAGGGCCACCCGCATGTTTCTAATTAGTTAGGAAATGATAATTGCTTTTGATGAAACGATGTTCGCGTCGACTGCACCATGATTGATGATGTTTTGTATGAGACGGATAGCAATAAAGGGATTAGTTTTAGGGCAATTGTTACTGATGACGTTTCTTATCATTGTCGATGCGGAGTGTTTAGATGATTATTGATGTGTGACGTGAACATGGATTTGTTTTTTTAATTTTATGTATATTTTTTCATCAATTTATCAATAAGTTATATAATTTAAAATTGTGTTTTAAACAAAAAAGAAAAAAATCACATCGACTTCAATCGTGGTAAAGCCAGTGATTTTAATTTAAAAACTAAATTATTGAACAGGTTTTGATAAAATATCTATGAGGCCAATCGGAAAGTATATTATTTCAGATAAAAAAGATTTTCCATATCGTTTTATAAATGACGAAGTTCTGAGGTAAGAAACAAAAAAAAATACACCTGAAACGAGAATCTCCTCCTTTCTTGAAGTCGGTTGCAAATTATTAAACTTATTCGACAGTGAAAGTTTCTGTGAGTGGATAAATTAAATAATGCGTGGGAAGCAAATATACGTAACAAAGAAACAGATAATCTTGGTACCGAATAAATAGTCGAAACTAGAAATATTTCCTTCGGGTCTTCCGGATTTCAAATAAATAAGATTTCAAACTGATCTTGAAATTTATTTAATGTCCATGGTGCTGTTCATGTCTGTAGGTGACGCTTACCACCAAGATAGATTGAGGAGATTGTGGATTATTTTTAAATATATTCGCAGATGCACATTCCGAAATGGCAAAATGATTCATTGCTGTATTTTTGTATCGATGATTCCTTCTGTTTTAGTGTGTGAAATAACTAACTAAGGTAAGGGTATGAGGGGGCTGACATATCCTTATAGGATGAAAGCCTCTAAATAAAAATGATTAGAAAAAAACAACAATACAGTATTTAAAGAGAAATCATCCTATCATTTTTTTTATATCATAAGCAAAAAAGCATAGACAGCATATTTAGTTATATATATTTAATATAGTTTTTAATTAGCTGCATGAAATTAATCTTTTGACTTCGCAAGCTTCGCAGTCTTTTTTCCTTCAACGCTTTGAAAGTGCTCGTATAATCTCCGTTCACGGCGGCCATATTTCAAATCTTCTTTGGAGACGACGCGAAATGTTTATGGCGATCTAAATTAGATCCAGACAGCCCTCGAAATCTGGTCTAAGACGCGGTAGATTGGAAATTATTTGACCATAATGGAATTTAGTTTGCGATAGAACTGTTGGCTGAGTTTCATGTCGGGTATTTGCGGTAACGCAGATATGAGGGAGGTAGTTTTATTGGTTTTCTAGATGTGATATATATAGACATACTCGTACATACATACATACATATATATATATATATATATATATATATATATATATATATATATATATATATCACATCAATGAACATATTAGCCACTGATAAATATAGATATCTGCATAAAGGAGGTTTTTGAGGCCTCTCCCTCCTTTAGTCGACTCTTACGACACCCACGGGAAAGGACGGAGTGGCCTATTTTGTACTGGGACCACACGACGAAGACTTATTACTTTCAATATATTTTTCTATTCAACTTAGAATAAGCAAACAAGCTGACGGCCCACCTGATGGAAAGTGGTAACCGTCGCCTATAGACATGAGCAGTACCATGGACATAACAGAGTACACTGTTTCGCCCATGATACTCCCCATGCGTTGCCATACCTGAGTACTAAAGTGTTCTTCTGTATCCTGTAAATTCACTGCCATATCCCACCCTTCAAATCGAAGTACAGCCATGCAAACACAACTGCTTCACGGTAGAAACACGAATGGAACAGAGGTATCCAAGCAAACAGTCTTTGTACAAAGTCTGCCTCTGGTAAATTTATCATTCCAGGACATTTATATCTTGGTGTTGAAGTCTGCAGCGGGGAACTAGATATCTCGTCTAGTTATGTTCGTTTGACTTCTTTGTGCGTGGAAATTGATGTATTTCACATAAATTGAGATGGTTAAGATAGTGTCGGCAACATATTACAGTGGAACTAGCTCTCAGTAATTGAGGGCTTAATTGAATTTTATTACTACACGTCTAGGTAACAGCGATACCGCAAATTGCTTTTATTCAACTATACGGTTTAATTAACCGACTTCGTAAATGGATGTTCGCAATTTGACTTTATTTTTTTGCGTGTGCGTTACGCGATATTTTTGCTTACATTAAAAAGATTTTGTTTATCAACCGACTTCAAATAGAAGGCGGTTCTTCGATTGTATTTTTTTGTTTGTTACCTCATGATTCTGTAAGATATAGACCGATTCGAAAATTTTTTTATTTGAAAAAATACATTTACATATCAAAACCGGTTTTTTCACAATTAAACTAGATTTATTTTGTAGAACACAATCTTTAATTATGAGTATTTCATATATATAATACATATATATATATATATATATATATATATACGATAACGTACATATATATATATATATATATATATATATATATATATATATATATATATATATATATATATATATATATACTCACGGACAACAAGAGAGGTGTGGGCAGGGGCATTGTCGTGGTGAAGAATCCAACGCCCCTCTCGCGCCAATTCTGGACGAACTCGTGCCACACGAGCTTTGATATAAATTCTTGATGGACAATCCCCCGAACATCGAAAAAAACAATCAACATTGTCTCGGCCCTCTCTGAATCTTTTTAGCCACTTGTATAAATGACTGTTCTGAGATATTCTTGCCGAGTTTCGAGAAACTTGATTACGACGCGCTGCTCTTCAACGGAGAGGCTCCATGCCGACGGGGTTTCGTTAAGAGGTAACTTATGGCGTGACAAGCCAATTCGCACCGCACGGCGGACAGACCAGAACTGAATAGGGACATACCTGGCCTCCCCATATTCCGGACATATATATATATATATATATATATATATATATATAAACAACATATAAATAGATATTATTTATAAATTGACCAGTAAGGAGGGGGGAGGAGAGAGATTGTTAGTAATGTGGACTACCAGTCCCATTGCTAGCGATATGCCCACCCTGTCAGGTCGACCTCCACGTGGTCCGTCCTGGAAACCATCGTGCTTAGTTCCAGGTGTATTCATCACGATTGGCTAACTGACCTGCTTTTTTCATTTTCACTTATCATCCCTCCCTGGTGCTTTGCCAGCGTATACCGTTAGCGCAGGCGGGGTTACAATTCTATTATCATTTATTAAAAAAAAAATTGTCCAATGACGATTGCACTGAATCTCAATTTATTTGCTCACTTCACCAATAGATGGCGCTGTCTAGAGGTATTTATTATTATTATTATGAAATTACTAATATTATAACGTATTATCTATCCGTTGTGGAATCTACCATTCGAATACAATAGTCGAGCTGGATACCAGCAAGCGGTGTTTATGTCCGTCAATAAAATCTAAATCTTGCGCGGGGATCTCAGCGGCGTGCCATTGTTCCGGTCATAAAACAAAAGCACATAAGTATAGCCAGAAGGTATTTCCTGTTCTAAAACTTGCGAGAACTTACCGATATAAAAGTTGACCAGAGACAAAGCCCTGTGGCACGTGTTTATGGCATTGGGTG